GATTCTAGGCAGGGGCTCTACCACTGAGCCACACCCCAGCCCCTCACTGGGGGATTCTAAGCAGGTGCTCTACCACTGAGCCACACCCCAGCCCTGGTTATATTATTTCCACTAGAAGCACTGAGAACTACAATTTCTCTGCATTCTTGCCAGGATTTGAAATTATCAGTGTTACTGCCTTCATTTTTTGGTTTGGTTTTGTTTTTGTTTTTTTGAGACAAGGTTTCTCTGCTTAGCTCTGGCTGTCCTGGAATTCACAGAGATCTGCCTACCTCTGCCTCCTGAGTGCTGGGATTAAAGGTGTGCACCATCACCACCACCACCACCACCACCACCAAGCTATCTTAGTCATTCGAATACAAGCTTAGCGTTACCTCATTGTGACTCCAATTGCTGTCTTCCTAACGGCTAACCATATTAATGTTATGTATCGATTTCGAGTAAATACCTCATCATGTCCATCGTCTGTTTCACCCCCTTCCCTTCCCCTCCATTTGTCCCCTCCCTGCTCTCTGCTGTCCCTATCGTTTCCTTGCCCTTCTCTTCTTGGGATGGGGCCCAAAGCCTTTGCATATGCTGAGTTTGGTACCAGTCACTTGGGGGACGGTTGCCCTGCATCATTTCTGTCACTGTGAGAAAACACCCCGACAAGCCTGTGGGGGTGGTGCCCACCTTTAATCCCAGCACCAGGGAAGCAGAGGCAGGTGGATCTCTGAGTTTAAAGCATACCTGATCGACATAGAGAATTACAGAAGAGCCAGGGCTACATAGTAAAAGCCTGTCTAAAACAAAAACAAAAAACCAAAACTTCATCCATTTGTTTGGGCTGGTCTTGAACTTCGGGTCCTCCTGCCTGCCTTTAGAGACCTGGAATCATGGTTTTGCGGCCCTGTGTTTATGAGCAGAATCCCTCAGTGAAACTGTCTGGCCTGGAGATTTCCTTTGTAGGAGTGAGGATAGAGTTAACGCAGCAAGTCTGTTTCGCTGCAGTTCCACGTATCCCTGTAGCCATGGCAATGACCCTTGGTCACATTCTGAAAACCGAACGAGCATCCTCACAGAGCTATTAGGAAGGAGTTATTCTCTGTGCCCAAAATAGAATCAAGACGAACCCGGCTGCAAACCAGCACAGAGGAGCACACCTGTGATCTTAGCCCCTGGGAGGTGGAGGCAGGAGGAGAAGGAGTTCATTTGGGTTTGGGTTACATAGCAGGAGGCCAACCTGGGCTACATGCAACCGTGTATCAGAAAAAGACAAACTAAGGGCCAAAGAGATGGTTCCGTGGGCACGAGTACTTGCTATGTAGGCATGGGGACCTGAGTTTGAACCCCCATCACTGTGTAAAATGCTAAGCATGACCGTTTACATGCCTGTAACTCCAGGGCAGGAGGTGGGGGCAGAGACAGGATTCTCAGGGACTTGCTGGCCAACAGTCTAGCTCCAAATGCAATGAGAGACCTTGTGTCAAGGCCATACAGTGGGGTTGCTGATGTTCGCCTCATAGGCATGTGCGGCTGTGCACACACATGAGCACATGCAACAAACGCATCTGTGGAAAACCTAACGCCACGATGAGCTAGGCCATCTCAGATGGCAGCTCTGGTTCGGGTGCGGGACGTACTCAAAGGCTCAGGTGTTGAAGACTGGGTGCCCAGTTGATGGTGAGACTGGGAAGTGATGGGAACTTCCAGAGGTGAGGCCTGGTCGGAGGAATCCATCGCTGTCGGACCCAGAAGGACTCATAGCATCCCCACCCCTTCCTCTTCCTCTCTGCTTTCCAGATGCCATTAGGTGAGCAGCCTTGCCGTCCCCCATTTCCTGGTGTTCCTCTCACCTTGTCAGAGATGCACAGCCCAGAGACTGGGCTGAAACCGGAGCTCCAATAACCTTTTCCTCTTCTGGCTGGCTGCCCCAGAGCCGCAGAGTTACTCTGTCAGGGTGACAGCCAACACAGCAGGTGTAGTTTTTAAAAACTGTGATTAGGGGGCTGGAGAGATGGCTCAGTGGTTAAGAGCCTTGCCTGCTCCTCCAAAGGTCCTGAGTTCAATTTCCAGCAACCACATGGTGGCTCACAACCATCTATAATGAGATCTGGTGCCCTCTTCTAGCATACAAACATACATGGAAGGAATGTTGTATACATAATAAATAAATCTTTAAAAAAAAACTGTGATTAATGTGTGTGTGAGTGTGTGTGTGTGAATGTGTGTGTGTGAGTGTGTGATTGTGTATGACTGTATAAGGAGGACAGGGGACAACTTGCAGAAGCCAGATCTCTCCTTCATGTGATCATGTGATCCCAGGGAATCAATCTCAGGTCACCAGGCTTGGTGACAGGTGCCAGTACTTACGGCCACTTCTCACTAGCTCTTTGTGCATGCACATGCTATGCGCCCACATTTGCAAACACAGCTGGTCCTGCTCTTCCCTTTTCATCCACACGCCCCTGAGGCCGGGTCTTTCAGGGAACTGGCAAGCCCCCAGTGCCTGTCTCTGCCTCCACAGTACTGAGTTACAATGTCCTTGACTGGTTTATGTGGGGCCTGGGGATTTGAACTCAGGTCCTCCTGCTTGTGCAGCAAGCACTCTTACCCACTGAGCCATCTCTCCAGCCTGCCAGCCTGTTTAAAGAAGGCATGGGGATTCGCCACTCTCACCGGGCGCTTTGTATGGGACCGTGGTGGTCACGCGCTTTGTATGGGACCGTGGTAGTCACAAAACAGGCATGTGACCAACTCCTGTGGAGAATTTTGACGCTAGGACTCAAGTGAGATTTCCAGGACAAGGACATCCCAAACCAGCCTCTGCTTTTTGCTCCTGAAGCAAAAAGCGTGTGCCTGACCCCGCCACCTTCCAGCTATTTTTATCTCTTTCCTGCTGTGCCTGCATTGAATGTATCTGCTGAAATAAATCCTAACTGTGAAAATCCTTCCATGTGAGTTATGTGGGGCCAGCTGAAGTAGAACAGAAAGACAGGGAGAGTTAAGGGGGAGGGGAGAGGAAAGGGGCAAAGGCACACACGCACAGATGACACTCACGTGTGTTCACGCATGCACACACAGACATACACAGAGACACAGACATGCACACACACACATATTCAATTGCTCGGTGTACTCAAAACTATTGCCCTAGGGGTAGCCAATAAGAGCACATGTGGTTCTCGCAGAGGACCAAGGCTCAGGTCCCAGTATCTGCATAGCTACTCACAAGCATCCATACCTACAATCCCAGGGGATCCGGTGCCCTCTTTTGGTCTCTCACAGGCACTAGGTATGCATGCCGTGCTCATGCACACATGGAGGCAAAACATACTTACAAATAAAAATAATCTCTGTCAAAAACAAAACAACACAAAACCTATTGTCCCTATGAAGACAGAGAATATCCTCAAATGGGACAGGCCCTTGGAATAATTCCAAAGGCTCCTGCTGGCTTCAGGGAACCTTGTCAAATGACAAAGGTCCATTTCTGTTTTCTGTGGAAAGATGGGCAGCTGGGACATAATTTTCTCACAATTCCACCAGAGCCCGAGAAAGGAAGTACAATGGCCAAGGTTCTGTTTGGCTTCGGTCACAGGGCTACTTCTAGAAGAGGCAGGAAGACAGGACAGTCTGGGCATTGTGGCACAGTGTACCAAGTTGTGAAGTCTCCAGTACTGAGACAGAGCCATGTCACATGACCTAATGTCAGGGCTGTATAATGGGTGAAAATCAAAATCTCATTTGAAACTAAGTTTCTCATCCAGAGTCATTATTGACAACATGATTTAAAAAAAAAAAAAACACCACCACCACCACCATCACCACCACCAACAAATGGTTTCAGGAATATACTGTGGAGAAAAGAATCACTGCTTAAGACAAGAGACGGTCCAACTGTTCTCTATATTGTGTGGTATCTTGTGTAGTTCCTAACATGGGGAATGCATTTTTGTTTTTTTGTTTTTTTTTTTTTGGTTTTTCGAGACAGGGTTTCTCCTTAGCTCTTGGTTCCTGTCCTGGAACTAGCTCTTGTAGACCAGGCTGGCCTCAAACTCCCAGAGATCCGCCTGTCTCTGCCTCCCGAGTGCTGGGATTAAAGGCGTGCGCCACCACCGCCCGGCCATTTTTTTTTCTTCAGTTACAGGGTGTCTCAGCCCTTCACCGTATCCAGTATCTCGTCCCTCTGGACGACTGGCCACAGACAAGAGTTGGCTGAGAATTTTTTGCAACCTCAGAGTAGCTCTCATCAGCTCCAACCTAGCTGCCTGCTTTTCATTGTGTGGATATTGAAACAGAAAGAGGGAGAACAATTGAATCAGATATCAAAGCAAATTATACAGTGAGGTAATTAAGTGCTGGAGAAGGTTCAAGCAGATTCAAGGTTAACAGTCAACTTGAACAAGAATCTAACAATAAAGGCAGAATTTCAAAATAGCTGGGAAGAGAGGGATTCATTAGAAACAATTGGGTAATCACTGGGGAGTGGCAAAGAGTTGGTGCTCATTCTACTTGGACCCAAGCCAGGCCTTATATATTAGGCAGGTGCTCTATCGCTGAGCCACACCCCAGCCCCTCACTGGGATTCTAGGCAAGCTCTTTAATAAAGTTAAGAAATTTTAAATTAATTAAGATAAAGCACGTAAAGGACAAGTATAGGAAGGCTAGGCATGGTGGCACAAATGAGGTCAAGACAGGAGGATCAGCAACACGGCAGCCATGATGCTCAGTAAAGTGTTTGTGCGCACACAAGTACCAGGATTTGATCCTTAGAACCCATGTAAAAAAGTTGGGCCTGGTGGCATGTCCTTGTAGGTCATATGGTGGCAGATAGATCCCCAGGGCTGCACTGCCCATAAGGCTTGGTCTACACAGTGAGCTCTGAACTGGAGAAAAACCATGACTCAGGAGACAATGTGGATTGTGTTGGAGGGAGATCATGTGACCCATGACCCACACACACCACACAATACCCCCCACAAAGGGGTACATTTTTTAGAAATAAGTGAGGCTGAGTCTCATGTCTGGATCGAGTTTATTCAGTATTACAGTGCCGGCACTGGCGGGAACAGCAGAGACTGTCGCAAACACAAAACAGTTTTCCTGGAGGCTCCCAACCTTCCAAACATCCATCTACCTTGGAGAGCATCCTGGGGATGTGGGAGGCGTCAGTCAGCATCCCCCATGCACCCTCGCTCCTTTCCACTCAACAGAGACCCACCACAGTGACCGCCTGAAGGCTTTCAAGATCAGGAAACTCTTTCAACGTCAGAGAATTCACACTGGGGGAAAGCCCTATGCTAGCGAAGGTGTGTCAATCAACCCCTCTCCCTAGTACTTCGGAGCTAATCAGACAGCAGGGACTGTGTAGCAGACAGAGACCCTGGAGGATAATGGGTGGTGAAGAGCCTTTGTCAGAATCCTAACCTACAGACTGTGCAGGCTACTTCATGTCAGACACTATCAGCTAAGTCATCTGAACCCTAAATCAGTCACAACTAAGGGCTATGACAATGCCCTTAGGAGAAGCTGGGGGGGGGGTGTTCAGGGTGGCTGTTTGCTTAGAGAGGAAGCTGCAAGAGGAATTGGCGTGCAGGGATGGCCCTGGGCTTCTCATCAGAGAATGCACAGGAATGAAATGGCACCCATAAAGGTTGGTGGTGGGGGGCTTAACCACATCACCTCATGGCATGAAGCCCTTGTGTGAAGAAGCAGGGAAAGCTGATGCTTCCCTTTATTGGATATAAGAGAATACAAAGCTGTGATCTCTATAGGGAGGCTTCCTGGGTTTGGGAGTGGGGGAGACTTTGGGTTCCAAGTGTCAGCAATAGCTTGGTGAGTCTGTTACAGTCTTGAGGCAAATCTATAATCCCAGTGACTCAGCAGGCTAAGCAGGAGAAAGGACGTGAGTGAGCCTAAGGCCAGCCTGGGCTACAGAGTGAGATTCAGGCCAGCCCAGGCAACTCAGTAAGACCTTGTCTCAAAATCAAAGGTCAAAAGAGGCTTAGCAGTAGAGCCCCTGCCTAGAATCCCCCAGTGAGGGGCCAGGGCGTGGCTCAGTGAAAGAAAACTTTCCAGAATGTGTGAGGTCCAAGGTTCAATCTCTGGTACTATCTATACAAAAAATTATCAGGGAGGGGGACACATTTAAACGTTTCTTTTTTGCCTTTTCACTCCCAGCCCAAGCGTTTGCTCCTTTTCTGCCGCACAGGAGTGTCTTTCCCTCTGTGTGACTCACCTTCCCTGTCCCTTTTACAAGCTGAGATTCACTTGGCTGGTTTTAGTCTATTCTCGTGGAGCGAAGGAAGTCTACACTAGACAACTGTGAGCTCCTGGCCTCCGCCTTTGGCTCCACGCACTCCCTGGGGTGCACAAGGCACGCCCCGAGGGCTGCTGTCGGTCTGTGTCACAGCTTCTCGCTGACGCCCCAGAGAGAGTCTCCTTGTAACGGGGCAAGGGGTGTTTGTCAGCTTCAAATCAGGCACCAGAAGCCTGGCCCTTTCACTTAGAAAGCACGGTTTCAAGGGGGAGGGGGAGCGGCCAGGCCTTGAATCCAGCTTCTCCTGTCTCCACTCCCAAGGGGTAGGATTGCAAGCCCGTACAGCCATGCCTAGTTTATGCGGTGCTGGGGATCAAAGTCAGGGCTTTGTGCCAGCTAGGCAAGCACCCTGCCAACCGAACCACACCCCCAGCCTCCCCATCTCCCAGGGCTTAGCTGCGTGAAAGGGATGCAGGTTGGTGGCTCGCACTCCTGGCTCCTGCCTTCATCACTTGAACAAAAGGGAGCGAGAGACAAGAGGTGAGGGGTGAAGGTGGCACATGCCCGAGCATAGAGGAAGGCAGCAGGCACTGGGTGGCCCTGTTCCTCCCAAGAGGACCATCTGAAAACACTCGGGCTGGCTCCTGACCACGGCCTTTGCACCTGCTGGCAAACAGGTGCCACAAACTGCTCCCGCGCTCCTGTGCACTGCTAACAACAGCCAGCTGTAGATACCGACACTGCCTTCAGAGGTCACTCACCCGGTCTATTCTGACTTCTCACTCTGTAGGCTCTGGGTCTCGGGCACTAACACCCACTACTGCCCCCCCCCCAGTGTCTTTTTTTTTTTTTCCTTCTAAAAAGTTATGCCTCAGCCCTGTCTGAGAAGACTTGGACTCATGCATATGGAAATTTCCAGAACTATTTCTCCTTCCTGGTCTTGTCCAGTAAGCCTGAAGGGTTATGACTGATCGCGGAGGTTGGTTTGTTCCTGTTGATTTCCTACCGTCTGAGCCGGATTTCTCCCAACATTTAGGAAGAAAAGCAGCTGGGGTTGCTTCCTCCGGTCAGAGAGGCCCACAGAGCAGCAATGAGGGGCAGGGAGGCCGCGAAGTTCTGTGAAGAGCTGAGGAATGTTCCAGGCCACGGGGGCAGCACGGGACTCAGGGGACGGCAGTCTCCTAAGGCAGGCAGGTGTGGTGGCTCAACAGTGTCGTCAGGGACCACAGCTTCCTTCTCTCATCTTATCCTGGTCTCCCCGTAAGTCTATCAGGAGAACTGAATCGCACGGCCACTTCTAAGTCAATCAACAGCAAAAGCAAACAACACGAGCTTGCTCCAGTGACACAGACAGGCGAGGATGAGCCTGGTGGGGCACAGGGCAGTGAGGCGGGCGGCTCACTAGTCATGGCCGGCTTTGAGCGTTCTCTCCTTTTCCTTTGTTCCACAGGAAGTGGATCTTCCCCATATCACAGATTTGTTTCCTATTTCCTCACTAACTTTCTCCATTGTGATTGTGGCCAGAACATTAGCCCATCAAAGTCCTACTACTGACCATCATAACATCTTGTTACATACTGTCCATGAATCAGACTTCAGGTTCAGATTCCAAAAAAAAAACCTAACTGGCCTGACTGCATTTCCTTCCATTTTTCAGTCAAATGACTTTAAAAGTTGCTGACCAGCCTGCATTAGATTCTGGTCCAAAGACGAGAACTCATGCACAGAGGCAGAATCTTTTCGTATATGACTGCCTTAGGTGGTACTGGCTAGAGAGAGGCCAGGTAAAGTGGAGCGCAGTGGAGAGGGATAGTCCTAGCGTGGGCTCCGACAGCCCAGACAGCACAAGAGGAAGAGAGTGGACACATAAAAAAGGTAGAGGCACCAGGCACCTGCCCGCCAAAGCCCTTTCCGGCATCCCAGCCCCAGGTGAGAGAGCACAGGGAGAAGATGAACCCAAAGGGAAGACATAGCAGAGGCTCCAGACACAGAGCCCTACCTGGACGTGTCCATGATCTCCAGCCAATCCAGGGAGATCCCAGTGGAGCAAAGATCAACCCTAACAATGCCTGATTTGTAGAGTCGAGGGCTTAACCAGAGGCTTCTGAATCTGCCCCAACTCAAGAATCCTTCAGTTTCCACCCAGATCAGTTAGTGTCTGCTGCTGGTTGGGAGCTTGTGTCTCTCAATGGGAAGCAGATGGTTTTCTGCAAAGGATTGGGCAGGTTTGGGTAGGCTGAAGATGAGATTGTAGAAACAGGCCAGAGTCCTGGAAGCGGGCTACTTATTCCAGTGAACGAAACAGAAACTCCTGCAACCAACACGGGGACTGTCCGGGCAGTCACCGGGCTCCTTTACCCAGGAGCTGTGAGGCTTTGAGAGATGAGACAGCCCCACGCCTGCTTCCCTCAGCTGTCACATGGCCCAAAGACTTAGTCCTAGGAATTGTTGATTGAGAAGAGTAAACGAGCCACCGCACGGACTCCCAGGTCACTGAGCACTGATAGGTTAGGTACTGTTCAGAGCGTCTCTCACTCTATCTACAGTGCTTGGAAACAAAGAGAAGAAAGAGAGCATCTCTCACAGACTTCAGAAGTAGAGGCAGGTGGATCTCTGGGAGTTCGAGGCCAGCCTGGTCTACAGAGCGAGTTCCAGGACAGGCTTCAAAGCTACAGAGAAAACCCTGTCTCAAAAAACAAACAAATAAAACCACAAAACAATAGTGTGTCGGGGGAGTCAGGGACCTCAAGATTGGCCGGGAGCCCTGCTGGTGATCTCAGAATGGGAAATAGGGTGAAGGGGAATCCAGCAGGACACTAAATTATTCTTCAGAAAGGATTTCAAGGCCGGGCGGTGGTGGTGCACGCCTTTAATCCCAGCACTTGGGAGGCAGAGGCAGGCGGATCTCTGGGAGTTCGAGGCCACCCTACAAGAGTTAGTTCCGGGACAGGCACCAAAGCTACAGAGAAACCCTGCCTCAACCCCCCCCCCCCCAAAAAAAAAAGGATTTCAAGTATGTCACCCAGGCAGGCTTCAAGCACCGAGGCCAAGGATGACTTGGAACTCTTGAGAATGCCTTGTTGCTGAGACACCTGGTGTGTGTGTGCTGCCAAGATCAGCCAGGGGGCATCTGTCTTGAGCAGGTTCCTAGAAGCAGGTTCCTAGGGCAGGCTTCAGAGCTCTCTGGGGTGCCTGGGTTAGGGTACACTCTCACTTCAGGCCTTCGTTCCTTCAAGAGCCGAGCTTAAATTTCCTCTACTTCTGTCTCCTCCTCTACCCACCGGTGCCATTTCTTATTGAAGTGGCCTTGGGACAGTCATTATAGATGCTACTAGAGAGAATGTTCTAGAGACTTAGTACAAATTACATTCTAGCAGTGCGCTTCCAGGACAGGAGCATGGAATACTGGAGACCAACGGGTCTGTGTGTGGCCTGTCCACACGTCCCTAAGTGCTGGGAACACGAGAAAAGGAGCCCAGGGCTTTGGGCCCACTAAGCGTGCACCCTACCAATTGAACTACACCCCCACCCCTAAGGTACTCGCTTTAAAAGGTTAGAAGGGAGCAGTGGCGATATGCGAACTTGGGTTTAGAGACATTTGCCACCCCCCCTTTCCATCCATGACACAAGAGATTTTCTACAACCAACAAGGATAGACCCCGATCTCAACTGTATACTGAAAGGAAGGGAGTGACCTTCACACGGGGATGGAGGCCGGGCAGCTCAGTGCCCTCCTTCACTAAAATTCTGTGTGTGTTACTGCCATAAACAGTCTGCTTAGGTGTCATAGAAGAAGCCGAGCCAGCTTCTCCCACAAGCTGGCCGTGGTAAACAGACACACCAGTGCCCGTTCTTGTTTACACACCAAGTGTCCTTTCCCAAGGTCATTCCTTTGTCTGAGCACAAGGCCAACTAAGCAGTGAGGTCTCCTTGGGAGAGGGGAGGCAATGGGGCTCCTGTCACTTCATGGGGGGATCTTCAGGGCCTGGTGAGTGGGGTGGTGGGGTGGAAGAGGGAGCAATAAGAAATTCCCTTCCTCCCCGTGCAACTTTGAAGGGAAAGAAAGGAAACCATCTGGAAAAGGCGAGCTTCATCTTCCAAGGCCAATGGCCAGAGCCCTCTCCTTATGCCACAGTGTCCATAGCGACACAGCTACCAAGCCCCAGCACCGTCCTTGAAGGCTCCATGGAGAACGCAAAGGACAAGATGTGGCTCACCTTCAAATGTTAGATCTGTCAGAGAAGGAAAAAATACGGTATAAATAGATCGCAGATGAAGATAACATTTGCAGACATCAAATTCTCACAGAGATGTGTCAGTGTGTAGAGCCCACAGAATCTCCGGAGGGCTTCTGAGAAGAGGGGGGCTTTGGGCAGGCTTGAAAGATGGGCAGAGAGCCAGGCATCTGCCTCTTACTTGTAATTCCATTGTTCAGTAGGCTGAGACAGGGGAATGGCAAGTTTGAGGCTAGCCTGCGTTATATAGGTGGTCCTGGGCTGTATGAGAAAGGTAGCTGAATAAATCAGAGCGAGCAAGCCACAGTCCTCCGCGGTCTCTGCCTCAGTTCCTGCCTCCACGTTCCTGCTTTGCACTCTGGCCCTGGCTTCCTTTTATGATGAACTGGACCTTGGGACAAATCAGTGGACTCTTCTCCCTAGGTCGCCTTTGGTCACGGTATTCACAACAGGCACAGAAAACATGCGAAGACAAAGCCTAGCCCCTCTGGGCCTCGCTCTGCCCAGACGTTTGGATGGGACGCAGTAGCTAACCAACACATTTGCGTGGCTGAGCCGGCCTTTGAAAGCCGTGAATAAGGGAAATTTTCCATTCACTCCGTAATTCATACTGTAGAGACTCCCAATGAATGCAGAGAGGGAGGACGCTCCTTGGATGGAGGCGAGCAGCCATAGAGAGGGGAAAATCACAGGGCGGATACAGCACCTGAATAGGCTCGAACCCACGTCAGAGCGCATCACTCCAGAGAGCGTCACAGGAGACAGCGCACCCTCTACATGTGGAAGCGGAGCTCCGAGGGGGCCCCACCGCTCCCAGAAGCGTCAGATGAGCCATTTGGAGTGAAAGCCTTTGAATGGAATGAATCGGGGGTGGTGACGGTTCAGGGGACAAATCAAGCCTTATTCATCAGCTGAAGGTTCCGGCTGGAAAGAGGGTGGATGCTTGTCATCAGTGACGAAGCTCCGGGGGCGCTCCCATCTCCCAAGACAAGGATAGCAAAGATGGGGCCCAAAGAGGACAGTGATGGAGCTTGGAGCACTTACAACCTAAAGTGCTCACACAGGAGGAGACGGATTTAGAAGGTGGTCTCGACAAGTCTTGTGCTTTTAGCGGCGGATGTGACAGAGAGCCAGGGTGGAGGTGGAGGCCAGCAATCCCAGCACTTGGGAGACCGAGGCAAAAGGATCAAGGGTTTGAGAGGGGCTGGTGAGGTGGCTCAGTGTGTAAAGGTGTTCGCGGCCAAAGCTGGGTCCTACTAGGAGGAAGGCGAGACAATAAGATGTCTTCTGCCCTTCACACTCACACAGCAGATGTGCCCCCCCTCTGAATAAGTGACTGTAATTTAAAAAAAAAAGTAATATAAGTAAATAAATGAATTAATTTCAAGAGCGTTTGGGCCAAGCCAGAGCTACACAGGGACTCTGCTTCAAAATTAGGAAGGAACCTGAGTTAGTGGAGCACTTGCCTGGCAGGCACAGGGTCCTGGGTACCCTCGGCAGCACCACTTAAACTTGCCTAAGGATGCGCTCCTGTGACGGCAGAGACTGGAAGATCTGGAGTTCAAGGTCATCTGTGCCTACACAGAGAGAGGCCCGGAAGGCTGGCAGGCAGGCAGGGAGGGGGCGAGGGCAGAACCAGAAAGCCTGGGTTTAAAAGAGTAATGATGCCTTTGGGGCAGAGATCTCCAGATGACTCACGGTTCTGCACAGGCGAGCTCTGCGGGGCCATGAAGGGTCCCCCACCCCTGTATAGAAGAGGAGAATCCAGGTTCCGTGGTTCCGGAAGCTCCCTTCTCCTTCTGGGCTACATGCTTTCTTTATAGCCCCTCTCTCCTCTTTATCCCTCAGCAAGATTCAGGCTCTTTCCTTAGTCCCTTGTCTAGGCCTTGTGAGGGCTCCTAACACCCCAAACTCCAGGTACTCTGCCCACCAGCAATAGGCAGGAAGGCCTGACTGCCCGTGTGTCCCATAAGCTGTCGCGATGGCTGGCTCACTTGTGACAAAATCTTCAGGGCACCTGTCCTATCTAGTACTGGTGCTGGGATACTAGACAAGGAAGAAGGCAGTGTCAGCTACAAGCGGCGGGGTGGCCTTGGGCTTCTAGGGGTACCTGTGTCCAGAGGTTGCAGAAAGAGATGTAGAAGAGAGAACTGCCTGAGCAGGGAGGGAGAACTGTGGCCCCATGGCTGCCCTGTGTGTGTTAGGCTGAGCTCCTTCCTCATGGCATCCCTGCAAGCCCAGCCAGGGACTCTGCGCCTGTCAGAGATAAAGCTGGGTGTGGCAATTCGGGCTGTAATCCCAGCACTGGGCGAGACTGAGTTAGCAAGATCCAGGCCAGTCTGAGCTACAGTCAAGCTCAGGTCTGTAATCCTAGCACTCAGGACTGTAGGGGAGGAGGTTGGGGGTTCAAGGCCGGCATCAGCTATGCCATGAGTTTGAGGCTAGCATGGGTTATATGAGACGCTGTTTCAAAAACACAACAACCAGACAAAAACAAAAACAGATACAGAACCCAAACCAAAGAAAGAAAGTAAGTATGCCTGTAATCGTAAGTGGCAGAGCCCACACTGGAGGCTCTTGAAGCCATACCTGTCTTAGACCAAACCACATTGCCTCTCTAACACCAAAGGGGACAAGGGGCACAACTGGTGACATCACCTGCTACTGGGGATGTATTTTTAGAGACTCCAGGGGCACCAGGGAGTCCTGTGAACCGGAAGGTCAAGGGTGAAACAGACACGCACCCACTTAGCGCACCTCCCCCGACCCCCACAGGGGACCCAGGCGATGTGTTGCTGGGGAAACAAACAGGTCCGACCCCAGGCTTTCCATGGACTCCCGTCCTAGAAGAGGGGCAGGCAGTCCAGCTTGCTAAGTGTTTTGAAAGCGGATTGCTGGGCCCCAGGGGAGCTTGGGGGGGGGGATTACATCATCTGACACCTCAGAGTCTGCAGAGACTTCTGGGAAGGTGATCTCTGGTGAAATGTAGGGAGAGAACCTTCCAGGAAGTGCCTGGCCAGACCTGACATTGCAGGACAAGTGTGGAAGCCTAAGGTGATCAGGAAATAGAGGAAGTTGGGTATGGCCGTGCAAGCCTGGAACCCCGGAACGGCAGAGGCAGAGGCAGAGGCAGAGGCAGAGGCAGAAGGCTAGCAAACTCCAGGCCAGAGCTTTGGAGTGAGACCCTGTCTTAAACAAACACAAACCACCACCAACACCACCACCAACAACCAAACCCAAAAGGCAAAGAAAGCAAACAGGGGGAGGGGTCTGTCTGCGTGACCCAGTGACCTTGGTAAGGTGTTCCGACTCAATCCTTGGAGCGAGTGGGGAGGCGGTAGAGGGCATGAGGTTGAGGGGAGCAGTCTGAGTGGCTCTGTAACCTATTGTTAAAGCCCAAGGCTGCAAAATGAAGGAAGATCTGTCAAATGCAGGCAACATCAGTTAACGAGTGAATTCTCTTCTTCCTCACAAGCCAAGGTGTCTCTCTCTCTCTCTCTCTCTCTCTCTCTCTCTCTCTCTCTCTCTCTGTGCACGCATACAACCTTGGGGATTGTTCTTGGACATGAAGCACTTTTCTCTCCTCTTTCTAGATTATTTACTTATTTTATGTGTGTTGGTGTTTTGCTTGCATGTGTGTCTGAGTGAGGGTGTCAGATCCCTGGGACTAGAGAGTTACAGACCATTGTGAGCTGCCGCGTGGGTACTGAGACTTGAACCCAGTTCCTCTGGAAGAGCAGCCAAGTGTGCTTAACCACTGAGCCATCTCTCCAGCTCTGAGCTTGTCTCTTTTAAGGCAGGGTCCCTAAGTGGTCACCCACTAGGCTAGGCTGTGAGCCCCAGGGATTCTCCTGCTCCACTTCTCTGTTGTTGGCATTACAAGCGCGAGGCTCCAGGCTGGCCTTTTGTGTGGTTTCTGGGGAGTCAATGCAGGGTTTTGTGCTTGTAAGACAAGCAGTTTATCAGTGGAGCTAGCCAGTCAACAAGAATATCCTCCCCTCCCCAACAGGATCTCACCAAGTACCCTGTCTGGCTGTCCCAGAACTCTCTATGCTGGTCAGGATTGCCTCAAACCCACAGAAATCCACCTGCCTCTGCCACTGCGTGAGATCCGATTCCCAACTCCCAAGGTTTCTTATAGGTACAGAGAGCAGAGTGAGCCAGGAGTGGCTCGGGGTGACCTGGTTAAAACAATCTCTGTTTTCTGTCCCGAAGGGCACGAAGATCAGGTTCCTGGGCTGCTGTCTGCAGCAGGCTCTGTAAAGGACATTCATGGACACATATCGCCCCCTTGTGTCTGCATGCAGTATCGCCTAGAAGAGCAAGCTGGCCTGCTAATAAACAGGCCAGCGTTTCTAGGGCCAGCCGCCCATGCCCGCGGTGGGCCGAGCTAGAGGCCTGAGATTCCACTTTTAAAGTCGTCAGCGAGGACAGTGTACGAACACACACGCGCATGTCATCTAGTCAGCAAGTGTCCCAAGGGTATTCAGATGTCACCCATGGTTCTTCACCATCGCAAACTAGACTTTCCCCACATTATTATTTTTACTTTAGTTTATTAATAGAAAAACTGTAATACAAAGTTTTAAAAAATAGCAGAAGTGGGCTGGTGAGATGGCTCAGTGGGTAAATGTGTTTGGTGTGTGAGTCTGACCACCTGAATTTGATTCCTGGGACCTATAGCAGAAAGAGCCAACTCCCAAAGGCTGGCCTGTGCAAGCCTGGAGGTACATGTATGCACACACGCCACCACCACCACCACCACCACCACCACCACCACCACCACCACCACCACCAATCCCCAAACACATAAAGGTCAGAAGCAATAGAACAGTGACTCAGGGGGCTCCTAAGTGGAAGCCAGCTAGCTGCTGAGATTGAGCTGATGCTGGCCCGTAAACCACCCTTCCGGCAGATTCCAGCTCCCTTCCTTCCAAATTGGGCTAGGATTCCAGATGAATGGCTGCCCTCTGTGTTCCTTGGGTCCTTTCAGCTCGCATACCTGCCAAGGGACGGGGCTGCCTTTCCTGTGTGGTCCTCGACTTTCCTCTAAAGCATCACATGTAAAACATCTTTCTTACAAAGTTATAGGGACGATTATACAAACCATAAAACTGTGCTGTTGCGGCCAGGTAGTGGCAGCACACACCTTTAATCCCAGTACTTGGGAGGCAGAGGCAGGCGGATCTCTGTGAGTCTGAGTTTGCTAGCCTGGTCTAGCTACAGTGTGAATTTCCGGACAGCTGGGGCTACATAGAAAACTATGTCTCCAAGGGGGGGGGGGTTGTTAGAAAGTGTGTGTGTGTGTGTGTGTGTGTGTGTGTGAGAGAGAGAGAGAGAGAGAGAGAGAGAGAGAG